AATTCCAAGCAAGGGAAGAAGCCGGGGAAGAAGTCTGGTGGAGGTACGAATCAAGACAAGGAGGAGACGCGAACTTGCTATCACTGCGGTGAAGGGGGGCATTTAAAACCCAATTGTCCTCACAGAGATGATTCGTCTGGTGATGGAGATGTGGGTTCTGGTTCTGCAACGTCTGAACAGAAGCGCTGGCAGAATAAAGCTGGAAGTCAAGATAAATCAAAGAGGAAGAAAGTCAATGCAGTGAGTTGTATTCCTCGTGGGGCTTTGCTTGTTGGTTCGGTTTCAGACCCGCGTGGAGGTGAAGTCGAGTTTTCTTTAGACTCTGCAAGTGATGTGCACGTCTGCAATTGGCAAGACTTGCTGTCGCAGTTGCAGTAGGATGCGCACGTATTTCAAAGATACGACGGCAAGGTGTCTGACAATGAGCAAGTTGGACATATGCAGCTTCGTGGGCGGAATAGTAAGCAGCCACACCAAAATGTGACTCTTAATTTGAGTAGTGTGCTGTTCAAGCCTTCGGCACCTGATAATTTGCTTAGTCTGGATGCACTGGAGAACGTTGGGTGGACATTGAAGTGCGGTCTCCGTGATTCAGGTCGAGTGGCTTGGCTGGGTTGTTCAAAGGACACTTGCAAGTAATGCTAATGAAGTCTGGCGGCAGGTACCGCTTGATGACTACAGCAAACTCGGTGTACCATGTCCCGTCGGTATTGTCGGTGCAGTAACGTAGTGATAGCAACATCGTTGACGCTCTGGAATCTCTGATTCGCTCATTAGAACGTTCCTACACTAAAGCAAATGGCGCGCCAGCAAGTTGCAGCTGGAATAGGTTCGGAGCTGACAGATGACAGTGATATTCCATGCTGGAGTTGTAAGTCGGTGAAGATGACTCGAATAAGAAGACGAGGAGTCGCCGTGCAACAAGACCTTTCCAGAAGCTCATGTCAGATGTGTGCTACATGGGTATTGTTACGTACGATGGGTAGTCACATTTCCAGCTTGTACAAGATGAAGCAAACCAGTACTTGTGGGGCTTCCTGATGAGAAGAAAGGGAGATGCCTCGGACGTCGTGATAGCGCATGTGAAATGGGTTTTGGCCCCAGGAAATAAAATCGAGGTCTTCAACTCTGACCAAGGCCGTGAACTTCTCAATAAACGATTGGTTACCTTTCTCACTGTTCAAGGAGTTGAGCATACCTGGTCAAACGGGTACAGCCCTGAGGAGAATGGGCTGGTAGAGAGAATGAATGGTATTGTAGCGGCTCAGGTGCGCTGCATCTTGACGACTGCAAACATGCTGGGCCTTCTGTGGAGAGAGGCCTTTGGATGTGCTGTCAAGGCCAGTAATTTTTCTCCAACGAAGCCTTTGAGCGGCGAGACGTCCTACTTCAGGCGCTTTGGTGAGCGGCCTGAGATCTCCAAGTTGCGGACTTGGGGCTGTGTGGTGGTCGTGTTCACGCCGAAGAAGCTTCGCAAAAACAAGCTGGAGAATCCAGGCAAGCCTGGTTTGTTTATGGACTTTGCTAAACATTCTGAGAGTTTTTGAGTGTTAAGTTTGCACACCGGCAACGTCCAAGAAGTACGCTCTGTGGAGTTTCAGGAAGACTGGACTGTGAAGCGCAGCTACGTGGAGCGTCTACTCAATAATCCCTATGGACGAGGACGACCCCGTACTTTGCCTACATTGATTCCGTTTGTCCATTTGCCTGTGACATCTACAATGAGTGCTGATCGGGATGTCTCCTCTGATGGTCCTATTTTTAAGCGCCGCCGTTGCGACGGTGATACTACTACCCCTACTTTTCACACAGAAAATTCTCCGATTTGTTCAGGTGCGCCTGGTACATTTCCGTTGAGTGATGACGAGGTGGCTCCTGCTGCGGTGGGAAGCGAGCAGTTGTCAATGAGTCTTAACACACCTCGTGGCAAATGGTCTCAAAAGCATATCGGGCAAGGTAGGCACGACCTGCGGGCTTTGTCTGACTGCAATTCGGCGGTTGGTCAGCTACCCACGATAGCACCTTCAGTGGGGGTCCCCCACTGAAGGTGGGGGACTGGGGGAAGTAGAGGTTGGTGGTGAAAGTCAACAGGAAGTTGATCTCGTAGCAGCTGATGAAATAGATGGCATCGAAGAGAAAAGGCCGATTGGATCTGGCGATCCAACTATTCCGATGAGGGACGTGACTAGACCTCTCAGTGACAGCGGGAGGGACGAGGATGAAGCTGAAGCAAGTGATACAGCTGAGACGTTTCGAAGTTCGACACGGGTTCGACACCCGAATCCTTGCTACAAATACTATGAAGTTGACATTCCAGCAAGTTTGATTCTTGAGGCCATCGATATGGTGATGGAGCCACAAATTGTGCAAGAGGCGATGAATTCGCCTGATACCGGCAAAAGAGTATCATGATCTTATGCGGAACAGCACATGGGAGCTGGTGGAAAGGCCCAAGAACAAGAAGGTGCTGACAAGCAAGTGGGTGTTTCTGAGGAAGCGTAATGCACATGGATTTTTAGTGCGTCATCGCACTCGAATCACTATCAAAGGGTATCAGCAGAGCTATGGAGTTGAATGCTGGGAGACGTACTCTCCAGTGGTGGCTCAGAAGACAGTGAAGTTTGGCTTGCTGCTAGCGCTAAAATGGGATTTGAGGCTTGCCAAGTGGACTTCGTGACTGCATTCTTGAACGGTGAGACTGAGATTTAAATGGAAATGCCTGAATATTTTGAAGACGGTTCTGGTCGAGTTTGTAAGTTGTTGCGGAGTTTGTATGGGTTAGAGCAAGCGCCATTGATATGGTACCAGACGCTTGATAAGCACTTGAGGTCAAGTGGCTTTCGCCGAACGAAGATGGTCGGAGGTGTTTAGTGGAAGGAAGCCACATATTGGTGACCGTGTACATCGATGATTTGATCATTGTGGGAACTCATGAGAACATTGAGCTGGTTCGGAGTGAACTCCAAGCTAAGTTTAAATCAAGGCCTTAGGGCCTGCGAAGGATCTATAGCACATGTTAATGTTCCACGTCATGTTATGTGGATGTTACAAAGTGGCTACATCGACAAAATTCTGAAACGCTTCGGAATGGAAGACGGTAGACCTGTAGCTACACCGCATGTTACAGGCAACTTGCCTGATCCGGTAGAAGACGGTCAACTTGGGGTGAATGACCCAAGCATACCGTACCGAGAATTGGTGAAAAGTCTTCAATATTTGGTGCAAGGAACACGTCCTAAGATTGCGAACGCTGCGCGGGCCCTTGGAAAGTACATGAGCAAGTACACTCATGAGCATTTCGTAATAGCAAAGAGAGTGTTACGCTATTTGAAAGGCACTCGTGACTATGGACGTTTGTTGAGAAAGCCTGCTAGTCAGCGAGCCGAGGATTGCACTTTTCCGTACATCCTGTCGGAGCATGTATTAGTAGGTCGAGCTCTGCTATGAAGTGTGTGTGGTGCACACTATCTCCGATATGCTGAAGTACGCTAAAGTCCAAAGGAAACAACCTTCCCAACAACATACCTAAACATGAAGCTACATGGGTTTAAGAAAGTCGTTGATGTTTTCATCTTATAGAGTTTTTTTTACGATGTTTTCATAATCTAAAAATAGGTAGATGAAATAGAAGTGATAGTTTTTGTATTTGGATATCGCTTTTGTGCTTGTGTTGGTAAATGCATCCAAATTTAGATTTTTCACAAGTCTCTGTTCTTACAAAAGAAAATTTTATATTTGGACTGTTTTTCAGCTTTATTTTTCAAAATTCTGGACTGACCCCTTTATTCCTGAATTAAGGCTTGAGCTTGCCGAGCTACTCGAAAGCTACGGCATTGAGGCTGTATTAGAAGCTACCAGGAGCACAGCGTTTCTTCATAGTGCATGTATTCCTGTTCGTAGCCAGTAATACCACTGCCAACAGTGCCAGTAATACCACTGCCAACAGTACGGGATTTGACTTTTTAAAGTCCTTTATGGATAGAGAATGCACGAAAAAGACGCTCCAATTGGATGCTACAGGAAGTTTATCTCTGATACTCAGGAATAAAAATATGTGGTTGCTGCAGTACTTCACCGGAAAAGTGTACATTCGTCGTCTCCACACTGTACAATGCCACGCTACTACAGTATTAAAAAAACGTGGAGACGAGGGCTACAGGTACAAAGCAACACTGATAAATATCCTGCGCCACTCCATTTTATTATGACGGTTGAATAAAAAACGTGCAAAAAAACGAACAGCCTCTACTAAGACCATTATGAGCATTAAGATCACTGGTGAGCTCGTCGTTGCCCCCCCCCTTATGCATACGCCGCGGCTCTGCTTCGCGGTAACGCTCCTCGCACCCGCCCATTGCCGCTCTATAAAGGACTCTAAAAAGTCAAATCCTGGCAGGCGCCGCCGTACTGTTGACAGTGGTTTTGCTGGAACTCCCAGCGCCAAGCTCCGAGGATTGCACTCTCCCGTAAATCCAATCTTTAAATCGTGAACGAAGCGAACTGCGGGGGCGCCGAATAGAATCCCAGCCACGGAAAGCACTGCTGGTCAATACTATCGTTAGTTCATAGTGCAAGCGGTCTTCATATTATTTTTGCTCACGCAAGTTTCGACAATGTACATTAAAAAACCAAGCTATATTATTAGAACAATTAGGACGTTTTAGAACACATTTTGGTACGTTTTTACAAGCGCCGAACATTGACAAAAACGCACAGCATGGAAAGTTTAGCCCCGATGGACATCGCACTGCTAGAAACGAGTGGTGTCCAATCGAACTCTGATTACATTGATTACCAACACCTGTGCACAGGAATGATTGGTCCAATCGGGGGCTATCCGTAAAATGAAACCGTATCATACGGTGGATAAGAATGCACCACTGCGGTCGAGGATTCGTCTCCCGTTGTCGTATAAACCGCAACATTCCTCATTTCCCAATTATCCTAACAACCGCCAACCACCATACGCATACAACGCCGAAATCCACCTCACTACCATCATGACATTCCTTCGCCCCATCCTCGCTCTTCTCGCCGCCACTGCCCTTGTAACCACGTCCGCCCAAGTGGACGGCGGATACTCGAAGAAGGAAGTCACCCCAGAGGACATGGAGCTGCTCCAGAAGGCGCAGAGCAATGTGAGCGCATACAATAGCGACGTCACCTCGCGCATCTGCTACCTGAAGGTCGACAGTCTCGAGACTCAAGTCGTCTCGGGTGAGAACTACAAGTTCCACGTTTCTGGTTGCAGTGTCAACTCGGACAACGAGCTGGGTGGCTGTGCCAACCAGAATTGCGAGTCGTCCAAGTACGACATCGTCATCTACTCGCAGTCTTGGACCAACACGCTGGAGGTGACGTCGATTACCCCAGTTAAGTAGAGGAAGTATTGTAGTTAGATTTGAGCGGCGATCAAGCCGTTTAACAAAGGAGCTAGGACTGCAATCCTTTATTCAATTGCTAGCACAAACTTCGTCTCGCTTTGCATTTGTTATTTTCACGTCACACCATAACTTTATCCTTCAAAGGTGGCTAAAATGTGAAGCCAAAGGCGCAGTTTGATCGTAAACGTTTCTTTGCAGACCCATTTATCAAATTCAAGCTCGTCTGTGTGGTATGGGATTGGTAGATACCGCTCCACACAGCCAACTTCCCGGTGGCCTAGCTCCCAAAATCAACCCCTGACCTCGAGGAAAGAGCAAAGTGTAGTATAATCATACTGGGGAGACTGCTTAAGCTGGCTGGACAGCATAACAAATGTGATTACATTGGCGGTCTGCCCCCCTTGTTTAATTGCGCGATTTTACTTGGTCCCCTACGGGTACAAAATATATAGCGTACGTTCTGTGATAAGTGCTGTGTGAATGTTTGCTAGGAAGCCCAATGCGATAAGTCGCTCCTTATTGAAGACAAATGCACCGGGGTTGGCCGTCGCAGCAGTGTTAATAAGCTAGCGCAAGCTTTGGATGCTTCGTATAATTATCACAGGTCGTAATATCTCCATCTGGTCATTCGTCTACGCCACCTTATCCAGAATCATCTCAGCAAGTTGGCCCAATAGCGGTTCTTCTGGAATCCACTTGTATTGGTGCAGCAGCTCGTGGCTTCTTTTCTCGATGTGCATGACGCCGTCATCGTCTCTCTCGGCCGCACTTTGGTCATTATTTTATTGCTTGTATGTCCCAACAGCAATGTTAAATATTTCATTCATATTATTTTTCTAAAATTAAACATTTGTATTACTATTTAGCACTGTCCACGGTAATTAGTCTGTGTGCAAAAATAGTCTAAGTTAAAAAAAAGTCTAAGTCAGACCATTTTGTGTTCAAGCAAAATATGGGGTGAAGGACTGGACGATGGAGGACTTGCAGAACGCATTCTTCTACTTCTATATTTTTACTTTCGTTTTACGAGCTCATACATCATGTCTACCACCAAGTCTACTGGAGCTGCGGCCAGCGTGTTGGTTCTTTGTTGTCCAAACAGCTCCCGCCACATGCATCCATTCTGTTCCGTAGGAAGTGAAGGCTTCGGACGATGTGCGGCTCGTCCCAAATGTGACCACATTGACCAAGAGATGCACCAGATAACGCATCAGCACTAATATCATGGCAGATGCCGAGGTGTTGTTGGACAGCGATTCCGACGTTGAACTTGATTCGTCTCAGCAGAAACCTTCACAGGCAAGTCAATCTTTGCGCCACGCACAATCCGTATGCAGTATTGCTCACCGTCGAAAAGATTTAAGCTGGATGAAATCGTACGAGGCGACCAGTGGGGTTAAAGGCATGTATCCGTAGGCTGTAAACAAATATTCTGCTATATTCAACTCGATACCCATGCGGCTAACCTAGCCAGGACTTTAGACTGGTTGAAGAGATGACGGTGTATATTGAAGGTAAAGCGCAGCTCGGTCGCGGTTTCAGCGCGTCGATGTGGCGCAAGACGGCGTATAAACGCAAAAGCTTTTGGGGAACGCGGGAGGCCAAGGCGTGCGTGGGTGTAGTTGGCTATACCCGATCCTACTAGACGAATTTGACAGACTCCGCAATCTTGGCGTTTGCTTTGAGCCGGAATTGTTACTGCAGCTGTCAAGGATATCATCCGAAGCAGCACTCGACCCTTTCATTCCAGGAGTGTCGACTCAAAAGGTGCGCTAATCAATGACAAAATAATATTACCGTGGAGCTCAAAGCTTTATGGAGTCTCATCAGATGGTTATCAGATCTCAGACGGGGAAGAAATAGCTCAGCGAAGCAGAGATTTTGCACATAGAGAAAGAAGTAGCGTTCCATCTGGGTGAACTACAGCGAGGTTTTGAAGACGGATTGCTCAATGAAAATGCAATCGAGAGCATCGACGAAACTCACTGTGTCGTGGATTTCGACAACGGTAACACACTCGGATATTGCGGTGACCAGACTGTGCCGACGTAGTGTCAGGAGGAGAAGGAATGAGGATGGACGTCAGACGGTTTGACGGACCGAGTGCGCGGATACACCCACCAATGATGGGTTTTATGAACTCAAGTGGCAATTATTCTATCCACGAAGTTCCAGACAGAACCCGCGGGATGTTATCGCTTGAGCAAGAAGGGATGGATGACGCAAAATTTTGTTTCGAGAATACCTCAAAGAAAGACGAGCGATGCTTGCAGACGTGGATGGGCGAAAGAAATTTATCTTCCTTGATAACTGCTCTAGTCACCTAGAAGATGGGGAATGCCGTGCCGAACTTTAGACGCTATCAATTCTGGTCTCAATTTCCCCCTCCAAACGCGATAGATCTATGTCAACCAGCGGACGCATTCGTAATCTCCAAGATAAAGGACGCGTGGAAAGTCAAGTGGAGCGAGAATAAATTGCAACTGATTGAGAAAAGCGGCTGGCAAAACAAGATACAGAAGAATGGTTCGTGGTCCGGGAAGCTTCAAAATCCAGGCAAGAAGTTTTTCGTGCAAGTTGCTGCAGAGCCGGGAAATCCGTCAACCTTAAAAAAAAAGGTATGTCCTACGCGCGTAAGGCGATGATACGGTGTGGTTTGTCGCTTGGATTAGCCGGTGTGTAGTCCGTTAAGCAGCTTTATCCTCATCTTCTGGATATCATAAAGAAACATCTCGAGCACTTTGAAGGTGAGCCTGTAAATGCGAATCACACCTTACATGTTAGTGGCACAGCTAATAATTTTTGAGCAAGTTAGTAACTGATACCAAATCAGCCGAGTCGTCAGTGCCTCCTCGTGTTAAACTGGGAGTGGAGGGTTCGAGTCCCTGCTCAGACAATGTTTTTGACTAAGACTATTTTAGAGTTCATAAATAGTATTAGTCAATAAATAGTCTAAGTCAGACTAATTATGGCGACTAAACATGCAGTCTTAACACATAAAATAGTCTCAGTAAGACTAATTTCTGTAGACAGAGTAGTAGTATTTCCCTTTTTTTTCAAAACGAGCGCAAAAAATCAAATGCTTTCCCTTGCCGAAGCAACGCCTCTAGTTAGTTTTATTTTTTGCGGTTAAAGTGGTAGATTAACCAACCGTTGTCATTTGTCGAATATCAAGAGTCTGTAATAATTAATGGCATCGTTTACAAGGATGATATAAAGGCCATCGCCATGCCACAGTATAATAGTCCGCCAAAGAATTATGAAGCAAATCTACAGTAAGTTCTCTGGATTTTATATCCAGAGCTATAGGAGGCGAGTCATTCGAACCCAAAACTACTCTAACTTTTATTCTCATATCCCAAACTAACGTTTTCAACACAAACGTTAAACAAATTTACTTCAGCACTTGATACACCTGTTTTATAACATCTACACTGGATTGTCGTACCCAATATGATGGGGTTCTTCGCTAAACGTGCAAAACCTGTCATTCAAGCTTGTATCAGAAACACCATGTTTACTTTAATCAAGAAAAATGGTAATGCATACTTGGATATCCTCTGTATTAGTGATGTAACCCAGGTGAATGTTGCTTGTGGCCGTTAACGGTAACATTAGTGTATATTCTCTGGCTTTATATCCGGAGTACATGTATTTACAGAGGTGCGGCTTACGACTAACCGAATTAATTGAACTCGCGTGAATGTTGTTCGAATAGATATCAGCAGATGATGAGGCTTCGCTCGACACACCATAAAGTGTTGCATCTTAATTTCACGTGGGTGGATGAAAAAGGATATGTATATAAGTCATTTTGTATCAGTCATTCTGGGGGTACACCTATGCCCGCCAAAAGACATCTGAGCGATGCCATTATGCACTCGGGTGGCTCGGCCTTTCCGGCCGTTGGGTCATCTCCAGCCGGAATCCTTCGTTCCGTGGGCGACGCGCTCGATCCACGCTGACGTGCTCGAACTCGTCGAAGTACTGGCCTAGCACCTCGCCCGCATCAATGTCCTCAGCAAGCGACAACAAATAACTGAAGCGTACGCGTGTTTCTCGCCAAGATTACCTTGGGCGATTGCTCGAGACACTTCCCGCACTTTGCGTCGTATGGACAGCAGCTTGGGGTGTAGTACAGCTACATCAGCGAGTTCCTGCATGTCCCGACACAGCATGGCTCCGAACAGTCACACCAGCCGTAATGGAGCACTGTTGTGAATGCCAACCCGGTCGGGTAGGCTGTACTGAGTACGGAGGTGAGTGACGCGTGCTGGTCAGTCTGCTGGACGAAGCGGTCCCGAGAACGCCTTTCACGCGTACGTGGTGGTGGTGGTGACGACCTCGGGCTTGTCCTCATCAGACCTCGAGGGTTCAGTGACGGAGAGACAACCTCACGATGGTGTTTCCCGAGTCGGTGATACGGTTGCGCTGCTTCTCCACGCTGTCTCTGGGAGCTGCGACGATCGCGCAGAGGGATCCGAGGCTTGGAGCGAGGAAGCGGAACTGGCGGTGTCGCCAATAGAGCTGGAGATGATGTTGTCGGACTGCGCGGCGACCGCGTGTTTGGTGGTGCTTGTTGCGCCTCCACTTCAACTGCACGCGATGGGGTCGCTTCAGGCTTTGGTTTTTGCGGGGGAGTATCTGCCCGATCACATAGCGTTCTCGTAGAGCTGGATTGCGACAGGTTTGGAGGCGTGTTTTCGTCCTCGGTCGACGAGTCGGCGATGCACCGCTCGCGCCAGTATGAAGCCGAATGAACCATGCTCTGGAAGTACAATGCTTGTCAGCTAAGACCCACTGCAAGGCTTCGTTAGCGTACCTTCTCAACAACAGAGGCACTTTGCTCCCTGCGATCAATTTTCAAAAGGGAAAGCTTCTTCAACTTGGCCAAAAATGAGATATGCCAGATATATGCAGTACGAGTGATTGTGGGTTAAGTCTGAGCAATAGTCAGCATTTTCTAAACAAAACCGAAGATCTAGCCTTAAGATGGCTACAGAGATTAAACCCAGGGGTAGGGAAGGCAACGGAGACGATTTTATGCCTCCGCCGTTTATTGATGTGTACTGACATACCAGCTGCAGTTATTTCTTCGTTTTTGGAAGGCGTCCACTCGTCCAATCATCCTACTCGTCTAATCATCGGTAGCGTAATCAACGTACCATAATCCTCACGGGATCGAGTTGGACCGGTTTGGATTACCGGTTTATGGATGCGTCGATGGCGCTATAACAACTAATAGGCCCGATAACAGGTCAGCGAAGCTCTGCGCGAAGCAATCACAGCGACATCAGATCGCCACAGCGAGAAAGTGAGCCCCCATGACATCCAGTTCTGTGATAAGGTGCTGTGATACCTAGATCGTGTCAAAGAAGGTTGCGCTATGAAGTTAGCGCACATGTAGCACGACCCCTTCAGAGCGAAAATGATCGATCGGCATGCAGCAAGAATAGAGAATACCGGCACTGAATATCGACGCTAACCCGGGCAATCTTTGTTAAGTCTTGGCTGTCGCAGACGAGGATAATCGCTGGCGTAATCACGGTCGGCTGGCACGTCACGTGCCAGCCGACCAACCCCCGCACTGGGATCGCGCGTCTGCCCGAAAAGTTCATGCCCCCCCACGGTCGCGCCACCTTTCCAGTGTCAATCTGTTGTCGTGCAGGCTCCCGAGCTGGTGGAGCAGGCCCAGTCCATCTATCCAGTATACGTCCCACTTTAGCTCTCCAGATATCTAGAGAGTTTCTTTTGCTCTCTTTATTTTCTTTTCGCCCAATCCAACTCCCTGTAGAACCTTCTCCGATTGGTTGCTCCTCGTTTGTAGGCCCACTGCACTTTACGAATACCATCTCTTTCTGGACACTAGCAGTCACCTTGCAATCCTTCTTCCTCTCGCTTCTCCGACGTGGCCAACCCAGGGCAAATGTTCCACCGCCTACGCCTCGTGTGACTTCATCGCCTCGAAACGGTTGCGACCAGTCCGGCCACGTTCGAAATCGCTCTACAGTGCTCCACAGTCAAGGTCTGCTTCATCGATCCATGAGGGCTCCGAATAGCTGCTCAATTAATCAGATATTCACGTAAGGCGCGGTCGTAGCGTGGCCGCCGTCATGCTCGCACATCAGCGATCAGATCGACTTCGCACTCGCCTTTGACTAGATCGCGCTCCCAGCTGTCCTCCGGTAGCAGGCGCTCGTCGAAGTCCACGCGGGCGGTCTTATCGTCCGTCGGTGAGGCGGTCGGTCGGTCCGGATACGTCTTGACTAGCTTCATCTTCTCCACAGGTTCGATTGCGTCTTCAATTCCTGAAAACCAAGCTCCTACCTCACCGTTTCGAGGAAAATGGAGGAAATACGGATCTAAAAGTAAAGTGAGGTCACAAACCCCACGAATCATAACAAGCCGTATATGCCGAAGAAAGGATTTCCACCGGGCCCCTGTCTGGAATCGCCGCTGGTTACGACCGGTGTAGAAGGCGCCAGGTACCGACTAGCGCGACGCTTGGCGATGCTAGCCGGGAAGGCATGAGTAGAGTCCCAGTAAGCCCTGTGATACTCCGCTTCGTAGGTCGAGTAGAGATGTGCTCTGTGCACGAGCCACTCGTCCTTACCAAAAGTGAGTGGACTGAATTCGGTCACGAGAACCTCCCATGGAGCCGACTCAATCAAGGCGCGCACGCCGTCCTCGTCAAATAGATCGTCTCTCCACTCTTGGAGATTGGGCGTTAGACTACGAGTGGGACCCAACCACTCCAGAGGTTTAAGAATTTGCGGAACAAGCTGCCCACGCCCATCTCCAAGATACCCGTCTGGTGTACGTCTAGTGAGGACCAAGGGACGATCTCATGACCCTGCAAGAGGCGGTGATCGCGATTACCAGGGATCCAGTCGGTCCGAGGTACACGAGTTAAGGCAGGGTAGCCAACCCCGTGTCCGAAAGCAAGACATTGGGCAAGCTAACAAAACACCGACAACGATCAGGAGACACTGAAGATATGTCACTTCCAGAATCTGTATCGTACCAGTGGCGGTAGGATCTGAGCCGCGGGAGCTGCTGCCATCGCTGCTGAAATCCAACCAAGCGGCGGCAAAGTGAGACAAAATACTGTGCGAATGACCGCCACCCATGGATTAACCTAAGTATCGAGTCGATCGCGCGAGTTACGGAGAATCGAATGTGCCGTGAGACGGCCGACGAGCAGATCGGGATCGAGAAGAGGCTGTCAAAAAAATATCTCCGTCGCTATCCGAAGAAGCAGACGACGCCGAGGCGGCAGCTCATTTTGCAGCAGCAGTGTACAGCATGTCGATCGGATTCGCCGATGGCTGGCGTTGCGACGTGAACCCCGAAGAAGACGAGTGAGACGAGGATCGCGCAGCTTTGCGCGAACGAGTAGATCTAGCCGAAGATCCCAAAACCGGAGGGCGTTTGCGGATTTGATGAGATGGGGACGATGTTGAGAAAGCAGATCTGGAAGATAGCAAGGATGCGATGCCTGCCAGGCGCTCGCGTGTTTGGTCCTGATCTTCGCTCAAGCTGGCAAATTCCACGAGCCGCTCGTCGAGCTTGTGAAGGGAGCGTCTCGGCCGACCACCAGCTTGTCCATTCTTCTCATAAGGTCGCGTGGGCTGCCGCAAGGTCCAGAGTAAGCGATTGCTCCCCGAGCTGCGGATAGGTGACCCACTACAATGAAACTATAGTAAGACTAGACAGCGAGCGAATGCCACTCTTACGGGTTTTCTGGTGCTCTGTCTTGGTTTGATCACACTGAGAGGCTACTTGACGCGCTAGTTGAGAAGCCGGTTCGAATTCCCGATTCAGCCTTCCAACGTGCGCCCTTAGACGGGTGTACTTCGCGGCGTTAGCAGTGATCGTATCATCTGCCGTTCTCAGGCGATGCTCGAGGTCCCGACGAATCTTGTAGAGGCAGCGCCTCTTGCGCCCGATAACGGCCTGAAGTCGATCCACCTCCGTCTGAGCGGCTTGTTGAGAGGCGAAAGATTCGAGAGGCTCCTTGTCTAAGGTAGCCTTCTGATCGCCGAGTGCTTGAAGGCTAGAACGGGACTGCGCAATGGCGCTTCTTGAGTCACTAAGTGACGGGCCACATTCGGAGGGACGACTCCACCGAATGAGGTGGCGGCAAGCAGCTGTGTCTCACAAGGGCGCGATCCTGTCTTGAAAGTCGGATACAGCCATGTCACGATGTTCCAGGTCGCGGTATCGGAGGCACAGGCTTCAACGTCACGGGTGTTGTCCTGTCGTTCCTGCAACGCGTTCAGGCAATCCGTAAGGTCCGCACGTGTGGTGTCTAATTGGTGACGAACCAGATCGTACTTGTGCTGACGGAAGAGCATATACGGTGACGCAGTGTGGGCTAGAGGAGAAATAGAAGCGCTTGGTGAAATCAAGCGGCGTCTGGCTGGCATAGCAGACATTGAAGCCTGGGAGCTGCTACGAGTGATGGCCTTGTTGATTGCGCGGATGCTGATACCTATCCGTAAGGGCATTGCACCTCATTGGTCTCTGAACAGGGTGGGTGCACTGTCAGCGAACCGGTTTTGACAGCTCATGTCCAAGAACAGATTCTTTCGCATAATGGACTACCTTCACTTCTCGAATAACAAGTCACACCAGGCACGGCTCGACCGAGCGTGGAAAATACAGCCTGTTGTTGACGTGTTACAACGGACTTTCGCACGAGGATACCAAGGACCGCCTGGTCTAAGCTTCGACGAAGCTATGTTGCCGTCCCGCTCCCGGTACAGCCCAACCCAGCAATTCAACAAGGACCAACCCCACAAGTGAGGGACGAAGAAGCTAGTTGCAGCCTGTGCCAAAACCGTATACTGTATGAGGTGCGTCCAACGGGGTGGCGAGCTCAGACTCGCCGTCATTTTTTTGGTTAAAGTCCTTATGTTTTCTGATGTCCAACAAAAGGCATCAAATCTCGTTGACCATCCAACATTTAGCCAACATAACTTTTTTGCCTGCTTTTGAATAGAATTGAACTAGACTGCGATGCCATGGCGCATCTACAGATCTCGTGCCTAAGGACAACAACACAGGCGAAGGGTCCGTGCTTCGAAATATGAACGCCTTCCGTCATCCATCCACTACTTCGCCCTTGAGACTGGTCGTTGCGGACCGCTTTATACCTCTGTAAAGCTGGCACTGGAGCACCTATACCGGCGAATGTACCTGACCGGAACGACCTCAGTAGATCGCTCATGATTTGCGAAAGCCGTGGCCACGAAGTTGAAGACAAAGACCGTCAATAAGAAAATGGTAACCATCCCAGCACAGGGCACCACCAAGTTGGCCGAAAAAAAGCGCTTCCCGCAGCTGACAGCCGTCATGTGGATGGATCGAAGTCCAGTGCACATGTTGTCCTTTAGTGCCAGACGACGGCCTGGGGTAGTGAGTATATATATGTATTATGAAGGCTCTAACATCCTTACTAATACTTGTGTACTGTGGTGCGTCGTGTCGATGCTGAAATGAAGCCCATCCCGGTTCCAGATTTGGTGCGGGACTATCACCGCTAAATGGGCGGTGTAGACGTCTATGGCCAGCTGAGGATGCAGCGATATAACTTCCATCTCTCCTACAAGACGCGAAAGTACTGCTTTTCGACATGATGGTTGAAAACGCCTTCATCGTGTATCGACACTTCGGGAAGATAAACGACCAAAGTCCTTCAAGACACTTTGCGTTTCTGGAAACGTTGATGGAACAACTGTTCGCTATCGACTCGACCGAAACGTTTGCGGTGATCGAATAAGTTTATGCTTTACAGTATCACATCCAACATAAGCGTGAAAATGTACTGGTTATCCAACATAACGCTAAATTATTTTATGTTGCCGCCATGTTAACGAGCAGTAGCCGCTCGGGAATGCACAGCAGTGTCCCCAGAAAGAGGGGAACAGGGGTCGCGTCCGCGCACTAAAAATACTGTGGATCCAGTGGAAGGCGACCACAGGATGGAAGAGAATCTGGATATAGTCCAGTGTGAGCAGGGGTGAAACGTCGCCAGCGTTCATGTAAGGTGTGCGCTGTGTACAAGGACAAGCCGCGCAAATTCACCAAGTATTTCTGCCGGAATGTTCAAACGGTAGCAAACGGTGGGTGATGTTGCTTGTGGTATGGATTGCTCGGCTAATGCAGCCTGTGGTGGCTGTAGCAAATACTAGTATAATGTGGGGCGTGAGGGCAGAGATACCTGCTTTCATATATTGCACCTAGAGTGGAATAATGAAGGCAACATCCCGGGAACGCTGCTCGAGGGACACAAAACACGAGAGCGCCCGCCGGCAACACGACCAGGAAAGAAGCGTAGGCGACGAGCGCAAGGCTCTACTACTGCCAACGCTGGTGGTGACGACAACAGCGGTGGAGATGGCGGAGACAGCGGAATTGGTGAGAGCAATGCTGGAAGTGAAGGCGACGTCGCCGAAAGCGAGGCTGGCAGCGTCACTGGTGGTCCAGGTGATCAGAGGTGCATGGAGGTGTAAGTAATGGGTTGTGTCCAAAATATTAGCTAAGTCCAATGCAATGGCTTTGACCGGAAAGTTAGCGAGCGGATCGTCGACGCAATTGATACCACATTTTTATAGTTGTTTCATTGGCCATAATAAATGAAAACACTACTGCTGGTCGTTTGCATTGCCACAAGAAACGGGATAATAGATAGAAAGGTCACTGCTTATGTTTTTTTACAAGCATAAGCTGGTTAGCAGATCTCAATCTCGTACATAAGCTCCCTTTAGGTTGGAGGTGCCGACACAATACCCTGTAGTGTATTTAAACGCCGCCCTAACCCGCACTTCAAAATTCGGACTTAAAAGGGATCTATTACAAATGCTCATATTACTGTTTATGAGACGGAGCAATATATTACCCTCGTAATAAAGCCTGGGAACAAAGGGGTTAATACTACCAATAGTAATTTCTTCCAAATAATGTGGTTGGGAGAGTCTCCCGATGACCGTTAGCTTACCAACTTAAGATAAACCGACCTATATCCTCTCATTAGTGAGTAGTAGCACGAAAATGACTGATATTGAGAGGTACTTAACTATTGTTCATGTCCGCTCAGTTAAGATCGATTGAAGAATGATAACAGCCCCCCTCGCGGGTTTTGGCCAATTACGCAAGCCGGCACCAATCGATCCACAGGAACGGCAACGACGACCTCCCAGCATCTGAATCGCTACTAGTGTTGTGTGTACCGTATATTGGGTGCAGCTCCAAAAAGTGATACCGCTATCTAGTAATAAAATGCGGCCATATTATACAGCAAAGATAGTATGTACTGTAAGCATTGTTTTGTTTTCGCGTCATCGCTACATTGTGAAGCATCTCCTCTATCTGCCGTTGTTGGGACCGAAACACTTGCGCACGTTGTGGAATAGATTGGGATTGATATTGATTTCTTTCAATCGCAATATGACGACAAAGCTAGGGCGGCATAAAGTAGAGCAGCAAAACCAACGGGTCTTCCGCAACAGCAAGAACGCTCTTTGAAGGTCCGACGGTCCATCGTACAAGTCCTTGTACGTGGGGTCTGCACCAAACTTAGTAGACTCTGACATCAATAGAACCATCATTATGTTAGCCATTATGCTGGATGTCCCGGTCCGCACACACAATTATGTTGGACAAGGTCAACATAACGTACCGTACTCGCACCCGGTACTTTTTCATTGCCTTAATAGCTTTGCTGTCCGTTGCTACTGACGACCACTCAGACGCAGAAAGCTCCTCCAGTTCAGCATCAGTATCCTCGTCGGTCAGCTCTTTAATTTCTCAGTCCGCAACCCAGGTGCAGTCATCATCTTCCGCATTGTCTTCATCTTCAGCCTCTTCACGCTGATCTACATCCTCATCTGAGTTGAGTTTGGTACAAGTCTGAGCTCCCAAGTCCATAATGTTGGGATCACCGTCGACAAAACACGTCGATATCGCCGTTGTCGCGTCTGAGCTCTCGTCTTCGGCACCACTGGATTGAGCTTGCATCCAAAACCAGTGACATTTATGTTAGTCCTATGCTGGATACCCTTCTTCAGAACAAATCTTATGATGGATACATAAACAAAACGTACCGAATTGTCTTCGCCTTCCCCGCTCTCATCGAGAAGGATACGTCGGTGGCGCTTCCGTGATGCTCTAGTATCAGCGCGCTTGCTCTTCGCGCTGGAGGACGCTAGGACTTCTGGGCTTGTCCGGGTAAAAGGGGCTGCTTCACTCGTCTCCCCCAGAATATAATCCTGGTAACTGCTGCTTCTACGTACGAAGCTACAGTGTCTTGGGGCTGTGGGCTGGAAGCTGATGCAGCATGTGTCGGTGTATCTTCCCTGGGTGTCAGAAAGGCACTGTTTCACATGGACAGAACCTGCGCCGGGGCTTTCTTCTTGCCTGGTGACGCCTTCTTCTTGTCCACGACCTACTCGTCCGCTCGCGGCGCTGGATTTGTCGATGTTGTCTCCTCTCCGTCCGTAGGTTCGGGGCTGTCTTCAACTGGGACATCAATATCTTCTGCCGATCCTTCGCCCGAGTTGGCCCCATCATCCTTCCCCTCCACCGCACCACCGCCGCTGCCGTCATCGACGCAGGCTTTCGGTTTCGGGGCGTTTTGCGATTTCGCTGCGGCCTTCTTTTTTTTTTTTTTGGGGGGGGGGGGTACTCGTGATGCCTCCGTCAGTCGCTCGTCAAACGCGTCGCTCCTGCCGGAGAGCGTATGCGGATAGCATCCTACTCGCTTCCTCGGGTTTGTTACGGGGCTTCTTGTCAGTGGAAGCCGCCATTGTTCGCGCCAGCTCTTTTTCTCAAATGAGCGAAACCAGTGGCTGTCGGCCGACAACTCTTGGTGGGTGAGGACACCCTTTTTCTGGTGCTCTGCAGGAATGCCAAACCCTATACATGTGCATTCGCTAATTTTACACACATGAAATAAACTTAATATTTGTATTTCAGAGAGTTCTATACAAACTTTAAGTAAAAAAAACTTCCTTATGTAGTATGGATGAATAAACACTTCTTTCCGACAGATAGTTAGGTAGGATTGTGATCAGGTTAGGGGTTGTCAATCTTACGCCAATTGAATTCTTCATTTTCATCTTTTGGCCAATGGCATCCCGTGTGGGTAGGTCTCTTATTCCGACAGCAAAATATTTATGGATGGATACGAATGTTCAGTATAAAAAGTATTTTTGAAATATTCTTGTCATTCCGACAACAAGGACCTCCAGTAGGATTCCTACTTCGAAGGAGCAAGCATTAAAGTACAAAGTACGTGCTTAGGAAAATGATAAAATAACATGTCTTAACAAAAACTAGTGGAACAGAAGTAAGATTAGATATACATGTACATGTACCGCATTCTTTTATTCATATAGCGTCTTTGCTAACCTCTCATTGTGCTTCTACATGTAGAGGCCTGGGTGTGACGCAGTCTTGTTGCCCACCACCTCCCAGTAGTCAGCAAGCAGCAGCAGAAGATCACGATGACCAACGTGATGTGTACGACCAACGCACCAGTACAGGCAACAAGCCTGCGCCGGGTATTTCTAGTATTTTTACTTGACAGTCCACCTCAACTGCATTCACCTCGGCCTCTTCCACAGTCTCGAGCGCCGCTTTCATGGCCTCGGTCGTCGCTACGATAGCCCACCAGCGTCATGTTCATCTACACTGCCACGGCCTCAGAAATGGCACTGCGCGTCTCCTATCCCACCTCTTCCGCCAGCTTGTCTCGCGCTGTGCCGCATCCCGCATTCGTATACCATCACCGTAGAACGACGCCACCGAGCGCACCTGCTGCAGACACGTCCGATCCGATCGACGCCAGCGCCGACACAACCAACTTCGTCACGCTCGCCGTGCTAGCACCATCGCGCGTCTCCACGTAGGTCTGCACGCCGTCAAACACTATCGTACTCATTGACGAGCTCATGTCGCGCCCATAAACATCCACGCCCAGTACTCCGACCACCCCATCACTCTGTCGGGCGCGCACCGAGCGTGCATACAAGCTGGGCATCGACACCTGCGCCGTCTCGTCCTCCGGTATCCCCACCAGGACCACCCATTCTTCACTCGATTACACGCCACCAGCACGCCTCCCTGCTACCGCTACCCTTCACGCTCGCTCGCCCGCCGCCGTATATGTCGCCGCTCCGCGCTCTCACCTGTCACCAGCACGCCGCTCTGCCGCTTCTGTCCTTCACGCTCGCTCGCCCGCCACCAGTGCCACCATCACCGTCGTATCCGCCGCCCTCCGCGCTAGCTCACCCGCCAACCGGATGACGCACTGGCACCGTTGACCTTGCGCTCCAGGCCACTCTTTTTAAATAAAAGTTTCAATAATTTAAAACCCTAGATTTAATTACAGATATTTGTTTTATAGTATACTGTATGTGGTGAGTACAGTATGTGGTGTTTGCCAAACACTGTTTGGTACCGGTACCTGAATCTGTCTGTTGTTCCGAAACATGTCGGAAAGGGGTAGGGTGCCGAAACGGTTGCGATGAGGAATTACCTTGACTCAGTGAAAAGCACTGAGATGTGCCAAATCGATCGTGGAAATGGTGATTATCTGGACTGCGTCAGTGAAAGCACAGTAACAATAATTTTTTATTAAAAGAGCAATAGTATCAGTCTGTCAGTAATATTAACGGGCATAGTTCATCGATAATAATACTACATGCCTGTCGTTCATAAATCTAGCAAAAACATACATATTTATATATATATATAAATGGGTGTTTCGAAACCGACGCACACTCAAGCCCCTGTTGGGCGTTCTTACAATCAATATCCCACCAACACTTGCAATCTATAGCAAAGCATGGCTCGAACTCGTCTGAAGGACCCCCCAGATTATGGAGGTGTCCCGTTCACCCTTGAAGCCTCCGATCTCACTGCTGCCACATCCATGGGAATTCTCCACTCCAATGTCCCAATTCAACAAACCGACGCAACGGCTGCCGATTACGGTGTAGCGTACAACCGGCGGGACAACATTGGGAATGAATTTCACGCTTCACAAAGGGCTATTTAAGATTTGTGCAAGGAATTCTCCCAAACTTGTGGTTTCCAGCTTAAAGTTTCGAGCTTTTCTGCTAAGCGGAACGGATCTGGCAACGCCAAATACGTGTGCAAAAAAACTTAACGGGCAGCAGTTTTACGACAAGGATGCACCAGAGGAAACAATTTCTTGCCCTTTTTTCTTTAACGTGAGTGGAGTGGAAGGATTCTGGAAGGTGACCCAAGCAAACTTTTGCCATAACCACGTGAAGCACGTAGGATTTTCCAGTCGGCCTGTTGCTGAGGGGTCTGTACCTCTTCTTGTTAAGGACAAGAGAAACACCACACAAAATGTTGAAGAACTTGCGAGATTGGTTGAAACCGAGATGCTGCCGCATTATGAAGGGAAACTTGCCCGAGTAAAGGGGACGTCGATCGCCGAGTTTCTAAAAGGAAAGGGCTTCACTTTGGGACCAACAGCTATTTC